GACTGCCCTGCAGGGCTGCGCAGTATTATTTATTGAAGTAAGCTGAATAGCAGGGGGAAAGCTCTGCCCCAGTAATAAGTGGTAATTGCCGGGAAGTGAGGCATTGCCGTTCTCATTGACCCCTGCATCCTGGTATTTTGATGGATTCTATGTAACTCCATTAGGATTGGCATTGTAATATTACACCAGCTGAGCTGTAGAACAACAGACCTCCGTTTGGATCATTGATTTTTGATTATACAGCTCCTCAGCATACCCCACAAGCAATTCCCTTTGCTGGAGCCAGGATATCGGAGACGATGGCGGCAACAGATGGAGACTCCCTACGTTTTGTTAACGCCACGGGGCTACAGGAGAACCGCTCGCCCTGGAAGCCTGAACCAGGGAGCGGCCACAACATCATGACCATAGTTTATACATTATGATTCACCCCACCCTTACCCCTACGAGGCTCATGTATTAGGAGCTAGGTCCCCAAATGACAGTGTTTGAAGGTGGCATGGAACCCTTAGGAGACAGTGACTAGGGGTAGGTCTTTGGTTCTCTGAGGAGAGGTAGGAATATTCCTTCAAAAAGGATCAAAGTATTACTCACAGGAGATTCTACTTATTTGTTACCTAGGCCTAAGCCTGCTCCACCCAGGCTCTTCCTTTCTTCCAGTTCTATGTGATTATTCACATACGTGTTCCCACCACTGCAATCCACGATGAGGTAACGCAGCTCCAGGGAAGCCCTGGCTCAGCCTGTGCCGTGATGATTCTAGTTTCAGCCTCCAAAACTACGGCCTGATGAACCTCTTTCTTTACTAAGTCAGTGTGTCTCAAGTATTTGTGATAGCAACAGAGAGTCTAACGGCCTTGCTGGTGGCTGAGAACTAGAACGTCTGTAAAGTTATAGCCACAGGGAAGGTGGGACAGTTGGGGGTTGATTTTGGAAACTTTGCTGGAGTAAGTAAGTAAAGTGTGGGCTGATCTTGGTTGAATCGGCAGCCTTCCTCTGTAGGGCACTAGTTAGATTTTTAACATCTCCATAGTGACTTCACCTGGGTGTTTGAAATTCATGTCAGATGGACAAGCTTCCATGTCTGTTTGTTGACCCATCTCTCCCACCTCTTCCTTTACCCTTTCAAACAAGGCAGTTACATAGTCTGCAAGCTAACATTCCTCCTGATTTGCCTTTCCTGAGAGCAGGAATACTCAGGTGAATCCACGAAGCCCGCCTCCTTGCAGAATTCTAGATAGGCTTCCCACTTATTTTTCCAGTGCTGGGAATTGAACCCAGGGCCTGATGCTTGCTAGGCAAGTGCTCTACCACAGAGTTCACACCGAACTCGTAGAATGCCCCTTTTGTTGGCCATGATTTTTTTTTTAAAAAAAGTTTTCTTTTTGATTATTATTTTCTATGTATATGGGTGTTTTATAGGCATGTATATCTGTGCATCATGTGCATGCAGTCCCCTTGGAGGCCAGAGGAGGACATTGGAACCCCTGGAGCTAGAGTTAGAAATGGTTATGAGGAACAAAGTGGTGCTGAGAATTGAACCCAAGTCCTGTGGAAGAGTTCCAGTGCTCTTAAGCACCGAGCTATCTCTCTAGGCCCTGGATATGATTTTAATTGTGTGGCTATACATGCATCAGATGCAACTGTAAAAACAAAACAAAACAAAACAAAACAACAATGAGAAAAAAAGAATTTAACTGATGTGATGAAACTTTCCAGAAGGTGCTTCAGAATAAGAGAAATGAATGTTCTCCCCATGAATGACTTTTGGCAATCATCCCCCGGAAGGGACAGTCTGTAAGGACCATGTGTACTTCATTAGATCTTATGTAACAGCAGCAGTTGCCTGATCTGAGCAAGTCTCATGTTAATTCTCCACAGTGTGAGTGGCTGACTGCTTAGGAGGCTGTGTGTTGTCTTCAGTAATTCTTACGAAGCCTTGTTGTTTACTTTCTCAAAACTGAAAGTTTGCATGGGCCAGAGGAAACTCTGGGATAAAAGATTTTCTTGGAAAAAGAGACCCAGACTCAGGAACTTTGGTAGCAGGAATCAAATCTTGGCAAATCCAGAGCTCCCCAAAGTATAACACAATATAGCTCAGGGAAGGGGGTGCTAATCCTCCTCATGGGGTTCAATGAGGCATCTGTGTGTAAGGTGGAGGACAGCAGAGCCAAGGCATGGGGCCCTCCTGACACTGTCCTTTTGCCATCTGCATCTCCGTATACACGATCCGCTTCACTGGGTTCCTTATGGGACACTTTGACTTAGCTCTCGGTGCTGAGCTGCTCCTACCTCTTAACCCATGCCTAAAGGTGATATTCAGCCTTTTGCAAATGGATTCATCTAACTTATGCGACTTGGGTTTAAAAGACATCTAGGAAGGCCCATCTGATTTTGTTTCCAATGCAGACTTTTATGTATAGAGGTCTACAGAGAGCCGCCTTCCTGAGCATCTAGGCTGCTCTGCAGAGTTATGAGTCTCAGTAGGGATTAATAAACCTTTATTTGGCCTGAAATCATCAGTATATAACTATTGTGAGGATGCTGGGGCTCCCCCAGGGACATCCAGCCTCCAAAAAGACCCATCTATGTAGACTGAAGTTTCTCCCTTCCATCCGGTCCTGCCCAAGTGGCAGCCCTTTTTATAAAGTAATCATTCGGAGGCTTAACATTAATTATAAGCTGTTTGGTCTATGGCGCAGGCTTATTGCTAGCTAGCTCTAACATCTAACATGCATTTCTATTTATGTATGGCCACTTGTCTTGACTTTACCTGTGTTCTATTATATCTTGCTCTCCCTACATCTCGCAACGTGTCCTCTGACCCCACATTTCTTCTCCCTGTATCTTTGCTTGGATTTCCCACCTGGCTCTTATCCTGCGTTACCATAGGCCAAAGCAGCTTTATTTATTAACCAATAGGAGCAACACATATTCACAGCATACTGAAAGACCATCCTATAGCACATCTATTTCCCCATTCAGATACAATTACAGGATTCTGCTCAGAGAAGCTTGTTGAAGGAGATTCATGGACTCGTACCAAGCTTCAATGTTACCACTAAGCAGGACTCCTCCAAGCCAAGGCAAAAATACAACTATGAATCCTGGAAACAATACAATAGTGTGTGTGTGTGTGTGTGTGTGTGTGTGTGTGTGTGTGTGTGTACCCAATTAACTCTGCACTAATTGATGAGCCATTTCTAAAAGTAAGCCAGGATAAGAGGTACTTTTCATACAGAGGCAGGCAGGTAAGTGGGATGTGGGGGCATAAGAAGTCACCCCACACTGTGTAACCCCATATCCCCTAAATACTTGGACCAATCTACTTCTGCTTCTCACAGAGGTTAAGTGGGCACACATCACGTTTTTGTGATTTCTTTATAGTTTCCTTTGCATGAAGGAGAAAACCTTTTCTTAGTCATGTTACTAGAAGACTGACTGCTCTATGTCAATACTTTTAAGTTTTTGTTTTTTAAAACCAAAAATTAGTTCTGCAAGGAAATCATATCAACTTTCTCCTTGAACAAACCTTTTCCTCCTCTCGGAGATTCTCAGTGTGTCGTAAGCTCTGAAGAGTCCATCTTAGCAGGAATCTTCTCTATGATATATTATTTGAATACATGCTCTCCAACTTATTAGATGCTATGCTTTCTCTCTAGCAACCAACTCCTCTAACTATAGCATTAGTGGTCTACAGAACATGCTTCAGGAGTGATCCTTTCTTGCCATGTTCAATATTGATTGTTATTTTCTTTGAATCCCTGCAGAACTCCATTTCCTTATTTCCAGGCATTTCCTGGGGTACCTTGCTGATGTGTGCTGTGCCACCAGGGTTATCGGGGCTTCTACTGTTATGTTAAATTAATGTCAAAACTAAATCTGTGTTGCCACATGTTGGATCCTTTAGCATGAGCAAGGAAGCTTGTTCCTGTGGACTCCTTCCTAAATGCATTTGCTAAGGGGCATTTTAAAAAGGCACATTAAATTTTATGAAGACTGTAGCAAACAAGTCAGTGAGTAAGATTTCAGTATGAGCAGCAAGCAGCTAGGAGAGAGTCTGGGAAAGCCATGATGTATAGCATTTCTGTTCAGAGGTAGAGAAGGGACATCAGTGACTCCCTAATGCTATAGTTAAAACATAGATTCTAAGTAGTCAGTCTAATGAGTCCCAAATTAAAATTGGCCTGGCCCCTGGATGCAGCTAGTAATTAACTTGTAATTTTATACAGAAGCAGATCTGGCTTTTGACCCTTGACTCTATTTAGTTCTCTCCTGACATTTTAAAAGCATGATGTGCTCAATAAGGTTGTTAAAATTAGTATTACAGGGAGAAGTAATCGAGGTAAATATGCATATGGAAATTATAGCCAGAGGGGTGCTTCATAGAGAAGCTGTCTCCATGAACTCAAATTTGACTAATTGCTACTGTATCTTATTCAAAATTACAAATCATACTATTAGTAAATGGAATTCGGCAAGCCCTATAGGACCTCAACAATTATTGTCTAGAGCCAGGAACTATCACAGCGGAAGGAGAATTTACAGAGCATCTGTCACTACTGTCCTCTTACTTGACCACTGGGGAAACTGAGGGAGCCTCTTGTCGTCACCTCTTGTTATTCTAATAGCAAGAAGGGTTCTGTTTTAGCTAGCTGAAGAGTGAGTGGGCTTGAGAATGGGACATTTTCATTGTTGGTAGTTTTTTTTTTTTTTTTAAGAAAACATTCTCAAGTTGAACTTTAATCTGTTCTTTACTCTTGAAAATTGGAGCGAGAATACAATTTAATGTGTAAATAATAAGAGTGTGTAGAGGCCAGATGGAGACGAGAATGCCTGTCAGCAGCTAAGAGTTTGGTACTTAAACCAATTTTTATTTAATATGGTGTATTAGCTTTGTGTTACTGTGATGAAATACTGGATACGATTAACTTACAAAGAGAAAGTATTTATTTACGTCACAGCCCGAAGCCTCCAGTCTAGAACGAGAGGACCGGACGACAATGACGGAAGAACGTGTGTCAGGCCTGTGCTCCTTCGTTCCTGTCAGTTTGACGTGAGCAGAATCCCGTGGGACGGCAGCCCCTCAACTGAGAAAATGCTGCCATCAGATTGGCGTGTAGGCAAGCCTGTGGTCCATTTCCTAGGTTAGTCATTGACGTGGGAGGGCCCAGCCCACTGTGGGTGTTGCCAGCCCTGGGCAGGTGGTCCCGGGTTGTAAAAAAACCTCAAGCTGAGCAAGTCATGGCGAGCAAGCCAATAAGGAGCCTTCTTCCACGGTTTCTGCTTCAGTTCCTGCGTCCTGCCTTGAGTTCCTACCTTGAATTTCTTCAGTTGATGGACTGTAATCCAAATAACACCCCTCGCACCCCACCTCAGAGACACAGAGAGAAACAAAAAAGGGGGAGCAGACCAGGTTTATCAGGAGTACCATCGCTTTGTGGGGTTGCGATTCAGCATATGAAGTTTGTGGGCAGGTAACTCAGTCCATAACGATATACACAGCAACTGTAGCCTCGGACCTAGCATTCTGACGTCCGCTCTGGTGCCTGCGAACCCTCCAGTTACTGAGGGAGAACTGTAAATTCCCCTGACTTTTGCCGGGGATGCTCCACCGCCAGCTGAATGAACTGTGCCCACAAGCCCTCAGCCTAAGAAGCTTCACTCCTCCCCACAGCCTGGGAAATTGTTCAGATGAGTGGATTTTACTCCTTTGCAGGAGTCAGGACGGAGTTTGGGAAGCCCTGCAGCTTCACCCTGCTCCAGGGCAGTCATCATGTGACCTTGTATGGCATGTGGTGTCCCCAAGTTTGGGGGGGGGTGTACAACATATTGCCAGTCCAGCAGTGCAGTATTGGGTGTTATTAGAGCAGGAGTTCCTTCTGCCGATAGTGGGACGATGAACGAAGAAACACTCCAGTCAATAGGACCCCACCTCCAAGGACTGTCCTAGTTGCTCTGTCCTGTCCTGCAGGAGTCTCCCTCCCTCCCCCACATCTTGCAAGGGACTTTCCAACATATTCATATGCCTCTTTCCACATGAGAGCCCAGCTAAACACACTGTCCTCCACCCACTGACATTTTCAGAGATGTTTTATCTGCTTTATTGATTGGCACTCTGGGAAGCTTGCCTTAATATTGTGTGTGTGTGTGTGTGTGTGTGTGTGTGTGTGTGTGTGTGTGTGTGTGTGTGTGTGTGTGTGTGTGTAAAGAAAAGAAGCTGGATATTAGAAAAGCCCGAATCAGCAGCCAGACTCTCGTAATCCACCAACTAATACATTGAGGATAAGGGATGAAGTCTGGTCTCAAACAGAAGGAAGCTCTAAACCATGGATATAAAGTTGGCATCATGTAAGATCCGCTTTTGAATCGACCTGAATTTTATACTTCTGTTTCAAAAACAATACTACTTAAAAAAGAAAAAAAAAATCTACTTCTAAGTTGTCTTCTCTTCTATGAGTAATCTCAGCTTTCAAATGACAGGCAGTATCTCAGAGGTTCATACATACATTAGCTTTAGGGGTGACCTTGGAAAATGCCCTCACTAGTCAGGGGAAGCAATGCTACGCATATCTGCAATTGAGCCTGAAGGCAGGCTCAGTAGATGGAAAATCAGACCTGCAAGAATAATAATACAAAATAATAACACCTGTGGAAATGTTCAAGTGTTAAAACAGCATACCATGACTCCCCCCACTATCTTTTTTGCTTGTGTCTTAATTTTCTTACCGGAAAAACACATGGGTTAAGTAACATTATAAATCACACTCAGCTTGACTTTAAGATTACTAACCACAAAATATACTTCATGAAAATCTCAAGATGACATACTGAGCATGCTTCTGTCCTCCTTCTACCACTTCAATGGCTCATGTAATGGCAATAAAGAGTCAAGTCAGAAAAAACAAACAAACAAACAAACAAAAAAACCAAGAAGAGAATAGAAAGAAAGAAAGCTGTTAGCGGCTGAGAGCTATCAGCGCTGAAAATGTGAGAAAAAGACTTGTGAGAAGTAGGCTGTTATTCAAGTATTCAGCACCCTACAAATCGGACCTCAGGAGGAAAATTCTCTGTGAAAACTTAGAGCTGAAGAGAAGGCAGAGTCTTCCACACAGCCCAGCAGTGAAGTCTTGCAGCCAGGCACATCACTGGTAAACATAGATCAATAGAAGTAAGTGAAAAGTAGAGTGGGAGGCGTGGCTCAGAGGTTAAGTGGACTTGCTGTTCTTGCAGAGGACCTGGGTTCGGTTTCCAGAACCTACATGGTGGCTGACAACTATCTGTACCTCCTGGTGCAGGGGATCTGAAGCATTTTCTGGCCTTGGTACTGTATGCATGTGGTATACGTTTATGGAAGAACACTCAAAGTTTTTTTTTATTTTATTTTATTTTTATTTTTATTTTTTTAACAAACTTAAAACCCTCTAGGATATCCTTGAAGTTTAAGAATAAGTAGAAAATCTTAAAATCTCACTTAAGTGGGGGCAGCATGACTCTAGGTTATCTACAAAAACCTGAATTTTGTAATGTCTTTTGTCAGTGATGATGCATACTAGAAAATAGAAACTTGTATTTAAAAAAAAAAAAATCAAAGCAAAATCCTTTGTAACCAACAATTTGATATCTAGCCAAGCCCTTTTCTCAGTGGAGGGGGTAAGTAAGGCTTCAGATGTCTGGTCAACATTCAGAAAGATCGTCGCAAATGCACCCATTCTAAGGAAAAAGTTCCACAGAAATAAATCCTGCTATGGTAGCTATGCAGAAGGCCTAGAAACCAGCTGGTGCAAATCGTCATTGCCTCTTCTTTCTGTCTGAATCTCATCTCGATCTCTTTACTCTGAAGCTGCACAGACCTTCTCTCCAGCTTTTAAGCCACCACCCACTTCACCCTACCACCTCAGGTTCTTCCCAGTTCTTGGTAAGATCGGGGTACAGACCTTCCTTGGACTTGTCCTTAGATGCCGTTGAGGTCCCTGGTTCTCAGGAGCTCATCAGGAGGTTTTCCTGATGCTCCTAGCTAGACTGCTTTCCTACCACTTTCTAAGGGACTCTTTGTTCTCTTAAAGATATCATCTTCATATAAAATGTATGTTCACAATAAATATATACATTTTAAATAATAATGGATTAAAATGGAAAGAATTCAGGCATCTCAGATCTAGCAGATGTGCTTGGCTGCTCCTCTGGGTCTCTATATGGTTTCACCCCTTTCCTCCTCAGGTTCAGTCACATTGCAGAATTTTATGTTAATGATGATATCACTTTGATTTAACAAAGATAACACACACACACATATATTCTCAAACATTTCTCTCATTCAAACTGCCTACCTGGGGGCTGTACGTAAATAAAAATCACTTATGTCAATAGTCACTAAGAAAGTATAACAATAACTTATCAATCTATAAAGTTTACATTGAATTAAGTTTACATGCAATTGGAGGATGATTTCAAGGCTATAGAAGGATGTGCACATGTTCACTTCCTTCTTTCCTTCCTTCCTCCCTCACTTCCTTCCTCCCTCTCCCTCCCTTCCTACCTTTCTTCCTTTCTATTCCTTGCTTTCTTTCATTTCATGCTCTTCCTCCCTATGTGGTTCCCTCTCATCTATTTTCAGGCCACGTGCATTTGATTCTCCATTCGTTATATGCAAGGATTATTGCCATTTTATATAATGCAGATATGGGATATGGGGAATCCTCAGGGGACATGGAACCAATCCTTCAAGGATGCCAGGGATCATTGTAAGAACAGAACAGGAGGAGAAGGCAGTTGGAAGTCTGTCCCTGTCTCAGTCACCAGGTAGCAGGATGGCCCAGGATGGTGCAGTTGCTGTCTGTTTTGTTGGGGCCTGGGGATGAAAGACAACTATCAGTGACTTTCACATGATTCATGGGTGCATGTTAAAAACAGAAGCAAGTTTATGGGGAGGTTTGCAAGCCAAAGACTCATCATTTGGAGACTATATATTGCCTGTTAGTGGCCCATACATTGGAATATTAATAGGCAAAGCTACAGACAAATGTAAATTTTATGTAAATTTTCTTTACGCTTTAGTTCCTAAAACAACCAAAGTTCATCTACTTAACAGTTCAACTGATATAGTTCCTAAAACAACCAAAGTTCATCTACTTAACAGTTCAACTGATATCGTATGTATCTAATATGGAATATTGTTTTTATTCATTTTTTTCTATCAATAAGACTTCAGCCATTAGAATAACATATAAAACCCTTCCTGAATTCAGGTTTAGATGGACAATCAGTAGGTTCTGCATCTGAGGTACTTCTGGTCAGATTTGATGAAGAGTTGATTCCTATTTACTGAAGTTGGGATCAAATAGATAAGCTGCCCACAGTCTTCAGGAGGAAAGTGTAGGTCGTTAGCTTCCCAGAAGTTGAGCCCCCTGATGTGACTTGGCTGATGGGATGAATGAAGGATTCCCTGTGCCAAGTTTAATACCTAATCAAACTACATGGGCTCTTGGTGGTGAACAGAACCCCAGCCCATCAGAGTGAGCCTATTTACCTTTGATAAAATGCCATTTCCTCTTTCTAATGAAGAAAAAACAAATGATGCTTTAGGACACCGTTCTGAAGAAAAAGCAGTGGAATGGGCCCTAGATGTTAAATGCCTTTTCCTGAGCAACTTCACACATAGAAGGATCAAACAACCAACTGAGGGGGTGGGGGAAATCTGGGAGCAGCTGCGGGAGAGAGTGGAGACCTAGAGTTTAGGCATTTGCTTCCCAGAGGTCAAGGAGCCAGCAGTAAGAAAGAGGAAAGAGAGCAATGCTGGATTGGGCTGGGCAAGTGTTAGAGCACATAGGAATCCTCAATAACGACATCTCAGAATCTGAACACTGGAAAGGTGGGCAAAGGTGAAGGTCCACATCCACAGAGACTCCATCCCCCTGACTGTGGCACTCCATCCACACGAGGCTAGACTACATAGCAGTTCCAGGCTCTCAAACGCTCACTCTTTGCTTTGGACTGCTCAGGCCTAGGGGATCATCTTCAAAACCACGCCTGTCTTCCCTCCCCTGGTATGGTTCTGACCAAGCCACTGATGATCCTAGGTCTGATTTACTTCTTACATCACTGACCTCAACTGAGATTTACAGATGGCAGGAATTCTTTTGCCTACAAATGTTTTCCTAACTTTGTACACAGTGTACCTCTGATCCCAGGGGGTTTGAAAAGCACAGTAATTACCCAGAAACTTGATGCTTGCACGGTTTTATTGCAGTTACATAATGAAATGTATACATAAAAATCAGGAGAACCACTAGATGCGATGTATTAACTAAGCACCATGGGCATCCTGGCAGCAGCTATGACATCACTCACAGCCAATGAGAAGTCTTCTGACAACCTGTTCCTTCCCACAATTCATAGCCAGGCTGTTTCCCAGGGACCACCACTTCCTTAGAAATTATTTAAAAGAGAAAAATACAGGTCTCTGAGTACATAGCACCTCTCTGATCATTTTATTTCATTTTGGTCTCCCTTCTTCTCAGGACATGAAATTTTTTTCTTTTTGAAAAAAATTTTTTGGGGGATTCAAACCTGAAAATGTTTAAAAATTATATTCTAGAATAACACTAAAACGTGAAAATTTGAAGAGCTAGAGGAAGGAACTGTGTGCCACTATGGAAGAATAATATATATAATAATATAAATAACTATACTGTTCATGTTATGAAAATAGCTTGTTATATTTGCCTCTGGAAAATAAGATAATGTTATCACCTGAATGATTTGTTTTCTAATGACAGGGTAGATTATTATAATATGAGGGGGAGGTTCGACACAAGATGAACTAGATGTACTATGAACTGCATTAAAAATAGTCGGTTTCCTCCAAGTGTGGAGTCATACACTCATCATGTAATTCAGTCTATTGCCTGCCAGTGTTTAAATAGGAACTTTTAGATATGTTTTGTTCTGAACCATTAGAGGTTATTTTAAAACTGAAGTGTATGTGCATATATGTTTCATGTATATATATAGAAAGTATAATAGTAACATGGAATCTCTGAACATTTTGTAAAAGTTCCAATTTTTCTGTTCTTTAAACATCCAATTTTTATTTTTTTCTTTAAAAATGTGTGTAATTAAGATTTTACCTAATTTCTCTCCCTTCCCCTCTTTCCTCCAACCCCTCCATGCCTTTCTCACTTCCTTTCAAATTCATTTTCTTTCTTTTTTAAAATTATTAAATATACGTAGGTGGTGGTGGTGCACACCTTTAATCTCAGCACTCAGGAGGCAGAGGCAGGTGGATCTCTGAGTTTGAGGCCAGCCTGGTCTACAGAGTGAGTTTCAGGCTAGCTAGGGCTGCTCCAAATATATAAATACAGCCTTCTGAGCCCGGGTGGTGTTACTCCTGTGCTTCTGTTTCTAGGGCTGACCACTTGGATAATCAATTTGGAGGTTCCTGCCTGGGGAAGACATTCTCTCTCTCTCAGCAATCATTAATTAGTTGTTGCTCTTCACCTCAGGATGGGGGCCCTTGAGATTTTCCCCACCTAGGTGGGGGTGTCAAATGGTGTTGGGATTGACCAGATCTTATTTAAGTAGCTGTACTGTTGAGATTTCAAGGGTGTTCACTGTCGTATCTAGAAGAGACAGTCTTGTGGCAGACTTCTTGATCCTCCCTCTTACAATTTTTCCACCCCCTCTTTTGCACTATTCCTGAACCCTGAGATGCTGGGGTTGTTTGATAAATGTATTCACTCAGGCCACGCCCCCCAAGTCACTTGTTCTCTGCATTTTGACCCATTGTGGTTTTCTGTAATGGTCTCCTGCAAAACAACAACAACAAAAACAAAAAAACTTCTTTGATGAGGGATGATCTTGCTACACTATCTGTGTGTGTTAAGTATAAGTATTTGGAATGCAGTTAGGAATTATATTTGTTTAATATAGTGGCGGTAGTAGATTCTCCTCCATGACCTTACTGGCCACCAATAGTTGGCTAGGTTTCAAGTACCAGGCATGATTTCCTCCTGGTGAGTGGGCTGTAAGTCCAATTAGACATCTGTTGGTTACCACCAAGATATATGCCATTATTACATTTCTTTAGGGATATGCTGCTGTGTTGGTCATTGTCTTGGTTCATAGTCATCAGAGCTTGGTAGAACTTTTGATTGCTTTCCTCTCTTGGCAGCTCACACACCCTCTTCTGATACTATGAAAGCTAGTCCTCAGCAAAGAGGTTCTGAGATGTCATATCCAGCTCCAATCCTCTGAGTCCCGTGTCCGAGGTTCATGGTGTCTTAGGCAATAGGTACTTACCTTCAATGTCTTGGAGGCAATGAAGGATAACTGCAGTAGCCATTATGGTTTTGAAGTCTCTTGGATTCCCCTGACCAATAACTCCAAAAGCATTTTCTTATATCTGGTACTGGGTTTTTTTTGTGAGATAATTTATGGTCCTTGTGGGGAGGAGCATTGTCATCTCAAGTGGTATAATACAAGATGAATTGCTAAACTGTCTTATTAATAAAAACCTGAAGCCAGACATTGGGGTTAAAACTGAGAGATTAGAGGAATAGGACAAGCCACAGCCAACCTTACCTCACCGAAACCTCAGACTCCAAAGAGAGCTACTTCCTGTTTACCCACACCTATATGCCTTTTTGTCCCTGCAATCTCACTTCCTATTCCTGCCCAGCTCTGTCATTTCCTGTCTGTCTGTACAGACCTCCAGACCTTTATGGTCAACTAGTGTTGGAATTCAAGGCTTGTGCCATCATGTCTGGCTCTGTTCCCAGTGTGGCCTTGAACTCACAGAGCTCTGGATGATCTCTGCCTCCCAAATGCTAGGATTAAAGGCATGTGCTACCATTGCCTGACTTCTATATTTAATATAGTACCTGGCTTTTTCCTTTGATCCTCAGATAAGCTTTATTATGGTACACAATATTTTGGGGAACACAATATATCACCACAGTGTAACTACATTAAGAAGAGGTGTGTGTGTGTGTGTGTGTGTGTGTGTGTGTGTGTGTGTGTGTGTGTGTGTGTGTGTGTGTGTGTGTGTGTGTGT